TTTCTATACTGCTTCAATTTTAGCAGGATCAACCTTTACTCCTGCTTCAGATATAACGTGACCCAGAAACTGAACTTCTCTTAACCGGAATTCACATTCGGACAATTATAGCTTTTCTTTCCTTAGAAATTCCAGAATCAAATGAAGATGCTCAACATGCTCTTCTTCAGATTTTGAGTATATAAGAATATCATCGATAAACACAATGACGAATTTATCAAGATATTCACTACATACTCAGTTCATAAGATCCATGAAAGTTGCGGGAACATTGGTTAGGCCAAAAGGCATAACCAAAAATTCATGATGTCCATACCAAGTCCGAGAAGCAGTCTTGGCAACATCCTCCTCCCTGACCTTTAACTGGTGATATTGCAAATTGATCTTAGAAAAGTAACTGGCTCCCACCAGTTGATCAAAAAGATCATCGATTCTTGGTAGAGGATACTTATTCTTAATGGTCAGTTTGTTCAATTCTCGATAGTCAATGCACATCCGCATTGATCCATCTTTCTTCTTGACAAACAGAACCGGAGCACCCTAAGGTGAGGTACTTGGTCTGATGAAATCTTTGTCAAGAAAATCTTTCAACTAACTAACCAATTCTTTCAGCTCTGACGGTACAAACTGGTACGATGCTTTTGCCACTGGTGCTGCCCCCGGTATCAGATCTATCCTAAATTCAATAGATCTATTTGGCGGTAGACCAGTCAAATATTCTGGAAAAACTTCTAGATAGTCACAAACAACTAGAATCAACTCTTGCTTATCTTTCTCTTTCTTTGTATCTACCACATAGGCTAGATAACTCTGACATATCTTCTATATATACTTCCGGGCTTTCAAAACCGATAACAAGTTGATATGATGATCTTGTCAATCACCATAAATAACAATTGGTTCTTTCCCCGATAGCTCAATACGGATCATTTTCTTATTGCACAGAATACTAGCTTGATTCTCTGCTAACCAGTCCATTCCCACCACAACATCGAATTCTTTCATTGGCATTGGGAACAGTTGGATCGGCAGCCCACACCCCTCAATTTCAATTATACAATTTTTAAACACATAAGCAACAAGTTCTTGACTATTAGCAGTATCAACCACTAATCTATCGTCAAGTGGCACAGAAGTCATACATGCATATTCAACAAATGAAGTGACACAAATGAATAATTTGCACGCGAATCAAATAACACCTTAGCATGTATGAAGTTCAGAAGAAATGTACCTATTACCACATCAGGTGTGGCCTCGGCCTCATTATTTGTCATTTGGAAGGACCAAGTTGCGCCCCTCCTTGCCCTCCTCTAAGTACATTGGGTCTTCCACGAGCACCCAATACAGTACTTCCATTGGTCAACTGCGGAATTTTTAATAGTGGACAGTTGGATCGAATATGATTTGGTGAGTTACAATTAAAAACACCTTCTAGTAGCCGGACAACTTCTTAATAAATGACCCACCTCACCACAAATATAACATCTTCTCGGGTCCATTTACAATCGCCCTGATGAATCTGTCGACACCAGGGCAAACTCTTTCACTAACCTTCTGCACAAATCTGTTATCATATTTTACTGACTTTGACCCTTGATAATCAGATGAAGGTCCTTCCCTCTTCCTCTTATTAACAACCTTTCCCTCTTCTTGCCTGTTCTTATTTTGTTCAGTAACTTCCACCGCATCCACAATCAACAAAAAAGTGGTAGGGTTCATAGCGATCATGAATTCTCGGATCGAAGGCCTTAAACCCCAAATATACCCCTCCACCTTTCTGGATTCTGATGAAATGTAATGCTCAACAAACCGGGAGTATTCAATGAACTTTTCAATATATTCCCGAACAGTTCCATTACCTTGTTCTAACTTCAGAAAATCCTCCTCCATCTGCCTTACGGCTGTCTTGGGACAGAACTGATCTTCGAATCTGTTCACAAATTCTGCCCAAGATAATGTTTGTAAGACGTCTGTTCTGGCTAAAGACTCGACTTCCCACCAGAATAGAGCATTAGACTTCAATACAAAAATAGCAAACCGAACTTTATCTGTCTCCAGACACTTAATAGTGTTGAACACAGATTCAATCTCCTTAATCCAACACATGGCTTTAACTAGATCTCTTTCTCTAGAGAAAGTTGGTGGTTTGCATGTTAAAACCATTTTAATGTCTCCCTCCTTGTTGTGTACAACCGGAACAGAGGGATTTACTTCCACTCTCTCTATTTCAACCCTGGCAGGTATCCCCATAATAGATATCTAGGTTTCCCTTAGTTTTCCCATTTCTTCTACCAGCATATCTCTAGTTATATATTCTTGCTGAGGCATCTGCTCTTGGTTGACATTTCTAGAGTGAGATTCTCCATGATCAGGATGAGTCTCAGTCTGACTTCTTTCATGTGTCTGGCTTCTCCCTTGACCCCTACTCCTGATTCTTCCCCGACCTCTACTCCCAAAAATATTTGTTGGAGGATTGACAGGGGATTCCTCTCTTTCCTCAAACTTAGGACGGGCGAACCTCTCAGATCTTCGTGTTCGGCTAGACATCTACAGATTTTAATGTAAATAATCATGTATTCACATTCCCAAATATAATGAAGTATCTAAGTCCAAAGTGAGATTCTCCATGATCAGGATGATCTCATGCATAAATTTACACTTGTAATCAATTCTAAGTTCTTAAAAATATAAATTAACATTCAATCTAGGAAATGAAAATTTATCACACACACAAAGCAAGTAGAGAAAAACCGAAAGATTTTTCGATGCTACATAACAAACCTCAAAAAGTTGAACAATAACATAAGTCGGAGAAGAATGTAAACATCTTGTATGTCAAAAACTATGAACATTAATAAACACAATTGATGTCAAGAATCCTGGAGTGAATGAGAAAATAAATCTCTTGCAGAGGCTTGTAAAAACTAAGGACAAATGTTTCTTCTAAAAGTCAAATAAACGCATAGTCAGCCTTCAACTTCTGAAACTAAGATCTGTTTAATCATTTGAGCGTTGATGCATAAGCCTATGTTGGAGGTAGGGCACTGTCTACTGTATATTCAAGTTTTTGGTCAGCAAACGATAAGTTGTTTTACTGTCCTTTTGTAGCCTTGATCATGATTCATCACATATACCAATACTTCAGCTTAATTCAAAGTTTATTTCTCATCTCTATCTCTTCAAGGGTCTTAGTAGAAAAAGTCCTATTACCAACCCTTTTTGAAGTCAATGGTATTATTAAGTATGGAGGGCACAAGTTTACATAATGATCGTATTGAATTTTAAGCTATTCGTTCACACATACCCTATAAATAACGCATTACATATGATTTATTCACAATCACATTGCTATTAGTCTCATCAATCTCCAAAAATACAACATTGTTGTTGGCTTTGGCAGGAAAAACTTGGGTCACTATAAAATATCATTTCCCATAACTGAATTACAGGTTTTCAAGCAAAGTAAAAATTCAGCATCCCTCCAAGCATGATCATGCAATCTACATATTCAAGTATTTCATAGCCAAGGCTCGTACTCCTATAAAATCCAGAGACGTACTGTGTATTTTGACTTCCAATTTGTTGTAATCTTATCTACATGCTGATAAATGCACATCAACTTCTACTTAGTCGTGTATATCATTAATTGCATCTTCAAACCTAACTTTTAATAGAAGACCTAGATAGCAATTAGAAAACATTTGATCCAACAAAAGCTTATGAAATGTTTGAAATCAAAAGAAAAAAAAGTGTGTATTCAAGCAATAGTTTCTTACCATTAATCAAAAGTGAAATCTTGAGCATCCAAGAGAGAACCCTCCAAAACATGAGGAAGCAAAACAAAGATGCAACAGTGAAACACACTATGACCTAATCGAGAGGAAGGACTTGAGACATGGATAAAGCGAGAAACAAAGAGCGCAAAAGGAAGATGTATATGAAGGGATGTGGCTATACTTTTGTGAATCGAGTAGGAAGAATGTTCTCGTCCAGTGAATCGAGTAGGAAGCAGACGTAATGAATGTGGCTTCTGAAGCGTGCATGCAAAAGAGGTAGCAGTTAGGGAGAAGAGAGGCCATGGTGAGAAAGGTTGTATAATATGAAAAAAGAAAAGAAAAATTTCCCAAAATAATGAGGAAGCAAGTATTTGAAATACTTAACCGTGAAGATGCCACGTAAAGAGCTCCATGGTTTTGCTTTAATATATAAATAGATTGATGATTGATTTATTGATGATTGATAATTATTGATTGATTATTGATAATTGATTGATTTGGTGATGTGAATGACAAGTTTATCATTTGATTTTTTCATGAACCTTCCGTAAACGGGATCTATATCATCAACTTTAAAAAATTTAACAAAATATAAGTCAAAATTGATACAAAATACGAAATTATTTTGATGTTTAGGCCATTCACAAACTAGGGATGTGCGCGGTGCAGTTTGGGGTCAAACCCAAACCACACCGCATATGCGGTTTGAGCATTTTCTCAAACTGCAAACCACACTGAATAAATTTCAAACCGCATGCGGTTTATACTCATCGTACTTTATGTCTACGATCCAATAATTATAAGTTTAAAAATACATTATAAAATCAACAATAAGATGACCATAATCCAAAAAATTAAAGAGTTTCAATACATCCGGTTCCCAAATAAATATTGCATAATTAAAAATAGTCTAAAAAATAAAATAAGAACTTCATACTAAATTAGACGTATAAGTTGTAACATTTCTCAAATAATTTATTAATATTGTCAATTGTCATGTTGAATCAAACTCAATTTCTCAAACACAAATTTCACAAGTATTACATAAATAATAAATTATTCTACATAAAATTAAAAAAATATACAAATATATTTGAATAACGGTTTAATAACTCATTACAACACTTAACTACAATTCGGTAAAAATGTGTAAATGGTATCCGTGTTTTTGAGATTTTTATACATCCACAGGTTTCATTCCTAACCAACAACGAATTCTTGTGAGATGTAAACAGCAGATTAATCGATGGAGCACTTCAAATTTTTGAATAACACCCACCCATTCAATCATCATCGATTCCTTCAAACCCCAAATATTAGAGGGAGAAACTTCAAGTTGCCGGCCGGTCTTTTGCTCAGGCGACGTTTCCACGTCTCCTCATTTGCTGTATGTATTCTGAAAACCCTAATCATCTCATTCTATTTGTTCCTTATTATGGTTTTTGCCAATTCCATTCAACTTTTTGTATTTTTCCTAAATTTAATTTTCTTCTACTAGGCTATAAGACGCTAATTGGGTTTCAATTTATCCATTACAAGCTTCCATTAGGGCATAACTTATAGAAAATTCCAGCCCTAAATGGATCATTTGTTGTATTGTATGCTCTTCATCAACTTTGTGATCAAATTTCGATGAAATGGTTGAATTTTTGGTTATGCCAAATTCATGTTATCCTGTTGGCTGAAAATTGGTTTGAAATTTAATCTTGTGCTTAATAAACTTGGAAGGATACCAAATCGTTATCTGCTGTATGCCTTTCATAGCATGCAATATTGCCCCACATATCATGCCTTTATAATGGAGTCAAAACTATATTATCATGATTCATGAGGCCTAAATGCTAATATCAAGACTTTAATGCCGAACTAGGGTCATTGGCCCGGATGTAGATCCCAACATCTATCCGGAGGTTAAGGTTCAAGCCTCATCAAAAGTTAGGAGTGTATGTCAGTTTTGCTTAATATGATTATTATGTAATTTTGAAAAAAAATTAATGTGAATATTACCGCTACAACAAAATTGGGTTTTAGGATATAAAAAAATGTAAGCGTCTTAATAGATTGTTTTATAAAACTTATGTTTATAGGATAAGGTAATTTTTAGTCTTATGTAAAAGTGTGACAATATATTTATATGGTGTCTTTGGGTGTCTCAACAAGTTTCTTAGAGCACTTTTGTTCTATTAGATTTTTTTACAGCACACTTGTTTTTATAGTAGACTTTTTCAATAATGTTATATAAAAAAATTAACAGTCAAAATTGTCCTGAGAACTTGTTAAGACGACTAGAAGTGTTCTATAAACTTATTTTAACAGTTTTACATAGGATGCACAAGTTTTTGGTACTATAAGTCTATAAACTTAATTCCTATAAAACAGTCTATTTGGACACAAACAATTTTGACGTTAAAAAAACCCAATTTTATTGTAGTGTAAGGAATGAAAATGGAAGTACATGTTGTAGTTTGAATATGGTTTGTGATAAATTTCAGGTTTATTAGCAAAGATGCCAGCCTCAGCAGTGTTTGCAAATCACAATGCAAATACCGAGACTGAGCATTTTGCTAGAGACGACAGCGAATATGAGAGACTGGTTGTATCTGATGAAGAGAAATTAGTTGACGACGATGATGATGATGAGGATGATGATGATACCTTAGAAAGGAGTGATTATAACTCCTGGAAATGGTGGATCAAGGCTGTAACATTGTCCTTTATTACTATTCTAGCATCCCTCATTTTCATGAAATGGGGAATGCCATTTATTTTTGAGAAGGTATATATATATCATATTCACAAGCCACAACAAAATTAAATATTCTTCGTTTAATCTTCTCACAGGCCATTGTATCTGTTATGTTATAGCACACACACACCAAGAAATACCCTAATAACCATTCATGTGTACGATAATGCACATGTGTATACAAATAATGTGTCCGGTATGCACATGTGCATAACATGCACACGTGCATATAAACCAAGAAACATCTTCAATTACTTGTATTCACCTGTGCATACAATACAAATGTACAGATGAATGATTATTAGGGTGTTCCTTAGTTTGTTAATTTTTGCGGGTTTTCCCCTAAACCTCATTCTATATCTACATACATAGGGGCACTCCAAGTGAGAACCGTAAATGTTTTGACAAGCTGAGAACCAACTATTCATGAATTATTGATGATGAATATCATGCATGATGAAAATGCTTAACATTCATGAATATTTTTGGGTTATTCATCATGAATAATTCGTGAAATAGTTGGTTCCCGGGTTCTCAAAATATTAATGTTTCGCTTTTGAGAGAACAATAGTAGACGGCGGTTATTGACAACATTTTTCTGATGTTACTGCAGGTTTTACTTCCAATGATGCAATGGGAGGCGACTGCATTTGGTCGTCCAGTCCTTGCTCTCATACTGGTCACCTCTCTGGCAATTTTCCCGGTGTTCTTCATCCCATCTGGTCCTTCCATGTGGCTTGCCGGGATGATATTTGGTTATGGAGTTGGATTTGTAATAATCATGGTTGGAACCACTATCGGAATGGTTTTGCCATATATGATTGGTCTACTTTTTCGTGATCGCATCCATGTGAGTCACCAACACACAATTTTAGAAATGTATAATTATTACCCTTTTAAATTAATTGAATGACAATTTACCTTACTTATACGGGAAGTAATAATAAACTTCTCCATTTCGTAGTCCGGTTTATAGGATGCTAACAATGTTTAAATGTTCTAATAGATTGTTTTATAGGATTTAATGTTTATAGGACCAAACAATAAAGCGTCATATCTTAAAGTGTTACGATGAGTTTATAGGAGGCATTCTTAGACATTGTTAAAATAAAGTGTCGTATTAGCTATTTCATAGGACACTTTTGAGAAATGTCCTATATAAACACATCTTTCTATAGGCCACTTTTTACTGTCTTGTCAGATTGTTAATACGACATTTTATTTTAAAGATGTCCTCCAAAACTTGTTAAACGTCCTATAAACTTATTGTAACGATTTTAGGTAGAACGCCTTATTATTTGATTCCTTAAACTTTCTAATATAGAAGTCTTTTAGGACACTTACACATTTTTAGGGTCAACTCAATTTTGCTGTTGTGAGTAGAATCAAAAAGTGGTCACTTACTTCTGAAAGCGGACATTTATATCGGGACAAACTAAATAGAAATCTTTTCAGATTCTCTTCTCCTTTTCAATGTTTATCTTGTTTTCAATTTGCAGCAATGGCTGAAGAATTGGCCACAGACAGCGGCAATGATTAGTTTAGCTGGGGAAGGGGACTGGTTCCAGCAGTTCAGAGTGGTTGCACTTTTTAGGATTTCACCATTTCCATACACCATCTTCAACTATGCAATAGTGGTTACGAGTATGATGTTCGGCCCCTATTTATGGGGATCCATTGCCGGGATGATTCCTGAAGCCTTCATTTATATTTACAGGTACATCGATGAATCTTCAGCTTTCTGCTTCTTTCATCTTAACATAAATACACAAAATCATACAAACGTACATACATCGAGTTTATACGATGCCAACATTTTTTTAATATCCTATTCTTCTCTATAGGACTTAAGTTTTAGCACCAAACAATAGTGCCTCCTATATAAAATTGTTATATTAAGTTCATAAGGACGTTTTTGGATGTCTTAACAAGTTTTTAGGATAGTTTTCGAAAAGTGTCCTATAAGTTTTTTTTATAGAACACTTTTGTGAAATGTCCTATGAGCAAGTCTTTTTACATGACACTTTTGGTGTTCTTATAAGACATTTTTTCAAACAATGTCATATAAAAATTAATGACACTTCATTTCAAAAGTGTTTTAAAAAACTTGTAACACTTTTACATAGGAGGCACAATTGTTTGATCCTATAAACTTAATTCTTACAAAGCATTATATTAGAACATTTAGGCTGCTTTTGGTACATGGAACTAGACACGAAAAGTCATTGTTTCATGCTTGGCGTGACATGTGATCGAACAAAAACTCACTGTTCCACGTTTGACACGACATGAGATAAGGATTACGTGAAAATTACCAATCTAGCCTCACTTATAACCCTAATATGGTATTTAGTTTAATGGTTACTACCACCGCCGCCACCACTACCACCACCACCATCCGCTGCAACCTCCGGCCACCTCCCAATCACCATCTCCACCACCGCTACAACTATCACCGACCACCACCACATCCAACACCTCCTCCACATCCACATCCACATCCACCACCTTCATATCCATATCCACCACTGTTGCCCGCCACCACTGTCTACCATCTCCACATCCTCCACCTCCACTATAACCACCATTGACCACCGCCCATTGCCCTCATCACCACCACCAGCGGCCACCTCCACCACCATCGACACCTACGATTGTCCATCACCACCTCTACCTCCATCACATCAGCCACCATCACCTCTATGTCCACCATATCGGCCACCACCACCTCTACCTCCCTTATAACCACCGCCTCTACCACCAGATCCACATCCGTCACCGTTATCCGCCATCCGCCACCACCTCCATCGTGCACCATCTCCATGTCCTCCACAACCACCTGCACCACCGCCTCTACATCAACCACTATCACAATTACCACCTCCTCTACCACAATCAACCTCCCCTCTTTCACCACGACTGGTAACCACCATGTAAAATCATTAAACAACATTTAGTAGTGTTTGGTATGCAAGACTGGATGAGAGTGGACTGTACTGGACTAATTGTCTGTCTTGCATTTGGTAAGCTGCACATGACTAGACAAAATTGTTAAAACGACTAGATTGCCCCTAAATGTTGTCTAATGTTATTTTTTACATCATATAATAATTGTAAATGACACAAATCAACCAAAATATATTAAATAATTTTATCTATAATATTTTATAAAATTATTTTTATAGTATTTTTTTAAATATGTATACATGATTTAAAAACATTCTAACACAACAATTGTAAATACTTACCCAACACAACAATTCTAAATACATACATAATATAATAAATTGTAACACAACAATTGTAAAAACGTATATAATTTAAAAACATTCCAACACAACAATTGTAAATACGTACATAATTTATAAAGTTTCCAACACAACAATTGTAAAAACGTACATAATTTAAAAACTTTTCAACACAACAATCGTAAATAACATGTGTCATAGCATCATCAAAAGTTTAAACATTCAAAGACAACAATTGTCTTTACAAACATATGTGAAGTGTACCAAAAAAATTTGAACATTCCAAGACAACAATTGTTCTCACCATGTTCTAAGACTATTACTTGTCCTAATCATAAATTGACTTCACAAATTCTAGTTTCACATCATCGTCCAAACTCTTCAAAAACCAATATTGGGATGGTTTATCCTCGAAGTACTTACCCATTCAAATGATTTCCATAGCACCAAGTTCAAGTCTCTTCAACTCATTGCTCAAGCTATCCATTTTGGTTGTAGAACCTGAGATCACTGAAACCAACTTTTTCATTTGATTGGTTGCTTCGTGGATTTCATTCTACGTTTCTTCCACTAGCTTGGATAGATCGGTTATCCTTTTTCTCTTTTTGCTTGTTCCTTCTCCTTCATTTGGAATGGAGGAACGGGAAGTTGTATTGGATGGACTTGGGATGGGGGGGAACATTGACTTCAGTCGCAAAATCATCATCATTTTCCATGTCCATATTTTCTAATGCGTCTGTAGCAGATTCGGTCATGTTTCCCTTTGCACAATCTTTCCAGAACACCAACTTAAACTGCTCGTATATTGGGAATGGCTTATTAGCCGTGTAGATCTTGTTGGGATGTTTCTACGACAACAAACAAACAAACGATTAATAAAAAAAGTAACAAAAAAAAACATTATACATAACCCATCATGATATCTAACTACTAACTTTTAAATACTCCTCCGAAATCTAGGGAGCTTCAACAGTCACACATTGATTTGTGTCATTCCACCCAAATCCGCTCGTATTTAGCATGTCATAAGCATCGGAATATTTATCTTTTAGACGCTTCATTTTGTTTTGTATGTGCTTCGACGTTATGCTAATACTGGGAATTGTTTCCTGCATCTTTGAGATAACAGTCTCATACGTATTGACCTAAAACTTCCATTGTCACCTCTACCACCATTGATTATAATGTCTTGAAGAATTGTGATCAACATTTTTTCCTCATCCGTTGTCCACCCACAACAGTTTGCCATTTTCTTACAAATATACAAAACAATAACGAATATCAAGACAAACATATATGATGCCATAAGAAACAATAACAAATACCAAGACAAATATTATTCCATTACGAACACCAATCCATAACAAATACCAAAGAAAACAGTTATCTCAATTATGGTTTAACATCTAAGATTCAAACATCTCTTGGCCTAAATCATCTCTCCACTAAGACCACTCATCACTTGCCTCAACAACATCAATGAACTCGAACAATAAAAAGTGCTCTTCCCCAATAGGCATATTTTCAATAGTGATTGTTGAATTTTCATGAGGATTAATGGTCATGTATGTCCTAATAAAATTATGTCATAAAGCACATGCTAAACTCATTTGCTCTTGATATCTTATCGGATAGCAAGGACTTCGTAATATAGCCCAACGTTTCTTTGTGATGCCAAAACACCTCGCAATTATATTTATAGCATGTGAATACTTCATATTAATGTATTCCTCCTTATTAGTAGGTGCACGACTAACATCTTTCCATTCTCGTAAATGATACCTAGTGCCCCTATATGGTGCCAAAAAACTTTCACCATTGATATATCTTGTGCATCTGCCAAATAGTAATTAGTGGCTGACTTTCAATCCATTTTTTCTGGTAACTGCATCTTGTAGAACTGTAGAGTCGGTAGCGGAGCCTTCCGAACCAGCTAAAACGTAGACAAATTTCAGATTACGAGTGCACACACCTAATTCATTGGTTGCAATATGTCCCTTTCTTGTTCGATACCTTGGTTTATTGGTATAATTACTTCAACATAAGTTCCATTCATTGCTCGTAGACAACCCTATGCACAAAAAGTAAATAGGTTTTAGCTAAAAGATGGATGTTATATTATGTATTGTATAAATAGTGTTGCAATAATTACCTTAAGCCATTTGCATCGTGAATCCGTACAATCATCTTGACATTATATTTTGTATTGTACAAATAGTGTTGCAATAATTACCTTAAGCCATTTGCATCGTGAATCCGTACAATCATCTTCTATAGGAGTTGGTTTGACAAGCAACACATCTTCCATATGCAATATAGCACGCAACACTCGATGAACATGTCGACTTATTGTTTACCCCGGCAACGTAATAGTTCTATTCTTGGTGTGGTGTGCTAATATGTTTATAAATATAGCAACTTATTCCTCGATTGTCATTTACCATCATATAATAATCCACCATAGGTTTTAAGCAAATCATTCAAAATTGCAAAAGCATTTCTATCCATTCACAATTCATTTATACAATTTACATCACTTTCGCATGTAGTAGGTTATATTTTGGTCGATCTAATTTGAAGTCTAGTGAATGTTCTTTGGTCCAAAGTTTCTCTTTCATTATTTATATTCTCCAATTATATTAACCAAATCGTAAGGAAAATCAAATACACAAGCATTTGAATGTAAATATTCCAGCAGTTAATGGGTATAACCAAGTGATTCCAATCCATCACTACAAAATTGACAAAACAAGCAATAGTCAAAATTCACAGTAACATCCTATACTCAAATTCAAAGGATTATAAAATTAGAAAACAAACAGTAGGCATGAAACTCAGACGACATGAAAACAAACAGTAAGCATGGAACTCGCATGGAACTTAGAAAGGATGATGAAAGCATAAATCAAAATAAGAAAGCAGATGTAAAGAAAGCATTGAATGATGAAATCAGAAAGCATTTTCTAAAGAAAGCACTTTAGCAGTAGCCATGGAATCAGAAAACAAAAGGTTTGGGAGTAAGCATTACACACCCTCCAAGATCATTTTTCACATTCACAGTAGGATGATGAAATCAGAACGCTTTTGTAAAGAAAGCATTTTGTAAAGAATGATAAAATCAGAAAGCATTCACAGTACCCACCATTGAAATAAAAGAACAGAGCTAAGGAAATCAGAAAACAGAATCAAATCGCTAGCCATGGTAAAGAGAGCAGATGAAAAGAAATGAAGGAAATCGAAGACCATGATGGTCGAAGACCATGGAAATCGAGAACCATGGAACTGAGAAATCGTACCTGGAGAAATCGATTTCAAAGTTGTGCGTGGAGGCGATGAAGAATATGAAGAAGTCGTGAACTTAGATGGAGGCAATGATTTTGGTGTTTGGATTAGGTTTAGGTGTCAGAGACAGGTGGTATAGTAATCTTTGAAAAAAAAACTGTCTTGTCCCATGAAATGAAGTTTTTGTCCCATGTTGTCCTATTTGATTTTCGTCCTATGGCATACCAAACATGGGACTATTTGTTTTTGTCCCATCCCGTCTCATCTAGTCTGCATACCAAACGCACCCTTAGGGCATCAGTCCTAGTCGAGCCAAACACCAGACAACTTGTCCAGTTGTCCAGTCTGCCTACCAAACGATACCTTAGACGTTTTTGGCGTCATATAAACCTGATTTGTTGTAGTAACAGGTTCCTCTATTTTTTAATTAAGCATGTATGGATTAAATTGTTTGTATGAATTGAAGTTGTCTGTTGCCTTATTGTTTACTAATGATGCAGTGGGAGGTTGATAAGGACATTTGCACATATGCAATATGGAAATCATCAAATGAGTATACCCGAAATTGTATACAATGTTATATCCTTCATCATTGCAGCTGTTATGACGGTAGGTTTTACAGTTTATGGTAAGAAAGCTCTAAGGAAACTTGAAAGTGAAGAGAAGAGTGGAGACTACGAGTATGGAAATATAGAACTCGATAAACTTCCACTTGAGAGAACAAAGCATCGTGACCATGATCACCGCTTGCATTTGACGTAGATTGCTTTTATAGTTGGGTAACAAAATTACGATGAGAGATTGTTTTGTTGTCCTGTTGTACATAGAAACCGCAACTTTCGTCTTATGTCAAGGTTTTCGAAATTGTTTGTTCTATGAAAATGGTAATTTTTCAGGTTTTGGACTTCAATATTTTCACTTGCTTACTTTTGTTTGTCTGATCTCCATTGACCAAGTTCCTGGATAGGTGTTAAACTAATTTCTTTTCATTTTAGAAATATATAATATTATGTATGGTGAATACAATACTAATCATGTTTAGTGAGATTTGAACCCTTTGAGATCTATGGGAGATTTAAGGGTAATCCTGATACTACTGAGTAATGGCCCCTTGGTAATTTAGATTGCTTGTTGCAAGTGAAATTTGTTTTTTTGGTTCTTTATCTTAATTTTCATGGAAGTGAAGACCCTACAACATAAGTGGTTTGTTGGCAAGTACATAACCGTTTCTAATAGAGTATTTGGTGGGCCTTAAAAGTTTATAGATGTGTCCTGTACAAAAATAAATGTTATAATAAGTTATTAGAGCAAAATTGGATGATCTATTAAGTTTTATCTTTGTGAAATAATAGGTTGTCATGTTAAAGTTGAGCAACTTAATATGACTCAAGAAGTAGATCATCTTATTTAGACAATACTTAATAATGTTGATTTATTTTTATGTAGAAGAAAATACTCAAAAGTATGGCAAATGTTTTGGGTCCTAACTTTTTAATTGTGTCCATTCGTGATTTAAAGATGTAAAATGTATTGAAATAGAACCAACTTTTGTTTTATTCCTATTTTGGAGAAACATGATCCAAAGTTTCTTAAATAAGACCGACCGAGTTGTTTCAAAACAAGACTGAAAGTAAAATTTGGTTTACATGAAAAGTTTTGAATCATGATCCCTCAAAACATGGTTTCTAAAATAGGAATAAGAACAATGTTGGTTTCTTAATGCTATAAATTGTGCTAATGAAAAGTAGTTAACACTGTTATAGAGGTTTAATTTGTAAACCAAAAGAAGTTGATTACTTTATAAAGCATGGTGGACAACACTACTTTATGATACTACCGCAGTGGAAAACAATCACGTACCACCGTAATGTGCCCCTATACATTTTTAGAACTCAAATTATGACAAAATTTTGTTGTAGCTTAGTTGGTTTACATCGTTAGATTGAAAATTCATGTTTGAGGTTCAAATCCAATCCATATTGTTTAGCAAGTTCCTTGTTTTTAAGTTTTTTCTATAGCTTTTGCTTCTTTGAAAAGATTTGAAAGAGCTAGAGGGTGGTGAGAAAGATCTAACACTATAGATCTCCTTGCAAACAACCTAAAAAATGTACAATGTTTTTTGGATAAAATTTATATAGCTTACATTCTTATGATGTCACAAATATTAAAATTTTATTTTAAAAAAGCCAAGTTCAGAGGTGATGAATATACATCAATATGTTGACGGACATATCGTCATTGACTGAAAAGGAGAATTGCATCTTCGAAGCGAATATCATCAAAGCATACTAGAAGTCGGATGGGATGGTGCATGGACGAGCCGTCACTTAGCACGATGACTGATCATTTGTATTGTTAGTATTATAACTTGTTGTTGTAACGGAAAAAAGGGGTTAGTGAAACATCTCAAAAAGCAGATTAATAGGCCATCATAAAGAACTAAAGACAAGGGATCAATGGCCATTCAAAATATGCAATATATTGCATTTGTTTTGTCTTTTGTTATGTAATACAAAATTCATGAAGTTTTTAATAGATCAAAGCATATCGAATGCAACAATATTAATCCATATTTATACCGTCGTTTTCATTATTGTTGTCAAACAATATTAGTCCATATTTATACTGTTACTATGATAAGCTTGGATTGTTAGTGGAGTGAATTATAAATTTGTTGATTCGTACGATTTTTCATTTAGTGCCCTCACGTGCATTATAAACGAGGGTGTTCCTGACATTTCAATCTTCCTTCTCTCTTTCCCTATAAAAAAAAAATTAGAATGTGCCTCCTTTCTCCACGATAATGGCTGTGTTTCCACTCTCAACTCTCTAGACTTGAGCTATATATGCACGTAAAGCGGTGATATGTAACTGTTGCACAAATTCAATCATTCAAACATCTTATGACCCAAGCGATTGCTTCTTTTGCTATTAATTACCTATAACTGCAAATCTTGCATTTTCTTAACCTATTTCTCCTTCTCCATGTTTAATGGGGACAAAATTGTACCAGCATGAAGACTCATACAAATAGATCTCATGGAAAGTATACATCTTGATCTATTATCGTCATTTTAATAAGTAATACTGGTAAGATACCAAATATCGATCCACAGTGTTAGGTCAAATATTATTGTATTCGAGATCACCGAATTTAAAGTTTGAAGAGGTCAAAGCTTAAAGTCAATATAGTCAACACTATTTTAATTGTAGTTTGACTTTGTGTTAGTCATTCTTATAAATAACTTTGTAATAAGTTTAGTTAGTTGTGAGTAGAGATGCTCCTGGTTTGGGTTGATCGGGTTGAAGACATTTGAACAACCCAACCCAATGTTTACGGTTTGGAAAAATCTTAACCCAACCCAACCCAACCCAAACCAAAGTGCAACCCAACCCAACCCAACCCGTACGGGTTGGTCGGGTTGATACTTTGGTATATTAAAATATTCTTCTAACCTTGAATATGTTATTTCTCTATTCATAATTTCTTTTTCATCATCAACCATTTGATACAACATATCTATATTTCTTACGTATATCATATTCAGTTATTTTTCTCAATTTACATATCTATGTTCACAGTTATTGAACATATATATGAATTGATTGAAAATATGTGTATATGAAAAGCATACATGATAGTGTAATTGTCTAATGTATATATTAAGAGAAATTCAACAATCATATTATATTCAAGAAAGAAAAGGATATCGAGTTCATCAGGTTGGGTTGGGTTTAAATAATAGTAACTCAATATCAACCCAATACCTACGGTTTGACAATTTTACAACTCGATTAGATATCGGGTTGCTTCGGATTGGGTTAATCGGGTTGATCGGGTTTTTGAGCACCCCTAATTGTGAGTTTAGAAGACCGGTAGTTACAAGAGTTAGTTGCTAGTTAATAGTTTGCACGCTTTTACATTTTAAGAACATTATTGTAATTGCTCTTATCAATATACAAGCCAAATTCCATAAATATTGAATTGCTATCTCTAGACTGTCGTTCTAATCTGTCAAACTGGATTTAACAATTGGTATCAAAGTAGAAGATCAAGAATTTGAAGCCATTTAAAAAATGTAATCAGAAGATGTCGACTTTCAAATAGTTGTTCTACAGTCATTTGAAGGTATAGAACAATGTCTTCATGAGAAGCAATAACTATTAATTTAGATGATGATGATAGTGGTTCATACAATTCTGATTCTTTGAAGGTACATTCTATCTCTATGTTTAAAGAACAGTTAACTGATATGATGAACAAAATTTCTGATTTTGAAATAAAACTTAAAGAAGAGAAAAGATTGAGTGCTTCTTTGGGAAGCAAAGTGAAAAAAGAATCATGGGTTAATTGTTGGTCCTTTTTGTGAAAAAGCTCAAAGTTCACATATTTTAAATTCTTTGAAAGATGAAAAGAAAAAAATATTTGAAAGAAAAAAAAATCTCAAAAGACTTTTAATAAGAAAATATCTGACTTATCAGAGAAGCTAATTTTTTTTTGAAGAGAGACAAACGAGTATGTTTTAATGTATGAAAATGAGTGCAATGAAAAAAAAATTGATTTATAAGCTTCAGAATCTTTGTTGGTTCCAGCTGGATCTACAAGAGTTTATAAGTGATCAATTTGTAGAAAGGGGAGGGGGACGAATACAAACACAAAAACTCACTTTTAAAGTTATATATTGATAAAGAAGGATAAATACAGATTTTACAGATTGTTTGCCGAAAAGATAAGGTAAAGAAAAACCTATCTAAACAATCTAGAGGTACACACAAATACACTTAGCAAATTGAAAAGATTTGCTGAAAGAAAATAAGACTTAGAAATGTATTCTTCACTTTCTTAAAGTAGTTCTTTCTCTTTAGAGAGAGAGTTTAGAGAGAGGTTTCTTCTTGGGTATGCTTCTATAATGCCCCATTTTTAATTACACAATTAATTATTTATTTTGGTAGGAAAATATTAAGGGCTTAGCAAATGACTAAAATTGATAGGATGCATTCGTAACATTAAAATGTTTGGGTAAATTATGAGATACTAAAATGGAATCTCGGATAACCCAAATGTTACAAGTTATAGTCAGGGTGTTTTAAAAATAACAGAAAAAATTAGAAGGGCCTAAAATGTCAATATATAGAAGTTGCTAGTAGCTAGTTGATGATTGGCCAACCTTGAGGAGTTACACATATTGAATGTCATGATTTAACTCACTTAACTCCCAAGACTCATAGTTTTCCTCATAGGTTTTTTCTTCTTCTTCACTTATAACTCTAACACACAAACACACACATACCATAATCACATAGAGAGAAAGCTAGGGAGAGAAAAAACTAGAGGAAGAAGAAGAACGGGAAAAGGGAGAGGGATTTGGTTGAGTTTCTTCAAGGTCCGATCATAAAAGGTAAGCCTTTCCTCCCTTGGTATTTCTAGGCTGTAAAACAGCCCCTATGCATGCCAAAGAAAATATCACCATAAATCGTAGGAACCTTATTAAGTTCTACAATTTTTACAGAAGAACCATCTATGCGTGTAGTTTATTTTGTTAGAAGAAACCAAAACCAACCTAGGTCAAAACTAGGATTTTTACCCGACTGTCAAATACGTTTTTGAAATCATCCACTGTTTTGTTAAAAATTACGGTAAATCGCTCGTTTAACCAATGAATATGAGGCTTACATTTCTGAAAACCTAAGTGAGTCTAGTTTCTTCCAACTTCAGACCACTTTTCCTAAAAACAAAGTTAACCATAGCCAAAGTCACCATCTATACAGGTCTGTCCCGGTGACTTGTATTATGGTGACTGCTGTAAAGCATCGACTTTGGAATTTTACTGAGATTCACATGTTTTTCCTTTGGGGCT